GAGGACGGACAGGTCAAGGGGGCGGGATGAGGTTGGTCGGTAGGAGACGGAGGTGCGGCTTGAGGTGGGAGGAGGGGATAGGTGGGAGGAAGGACAGGTTAGGGAGGCAGGGACGAGCTGGACTGGTTTTGGGATGTGGTGGGGGGAGGGGAGATTTTGAAACTTGTGAAATCCACATTGATACCATTGGGCTGCAGGGTTCCCAAGCGGAATATGAGTTGCTGTTCCTGCAACCTTCGGGTGGCATCGTTGTGGCACTGCAGGAGGCCCAGGATGGACATGTCATCTGAGGAATGGGAGGGGGAGTTGAAATGGTTCGCGACTGGGAGGTGCAGTTGTTTGTTGCGAACCGAGCGTAGGACTTGCTCACCAAGCTGGCTTGTTTTTGTTCAGATGTTTTGTCACCATGCTAGGTGACATCATCAGTGGAGCCTCCAATGAAGCGATATTATCCTACTCCGCTTGGTATTTATATTGTCTGGTCTGTTATGGCGAGTACTGTCGTTTCCAGTTTTGATCTGTATGGTTTTGTACATGGGATCCAATTCTATATGTTTGTTGATTGACGTATGGGTGGAGAACCATGCCTCTAGGAATTCCTGTGTGTGTCTATGTTTGGCTTGGGCTACAATGGTTACCTTGTCCCTTGTCTGAATATACCGATATTATGGAGAGTTCGTTGTGCCATTTTGCTACTAGCTGATGTTCATGTATTCTGATGGCTAGTTTCCTTCCTGTTCGTCCGATGTAATGTTTGTGGCAGTTGTTGCATGGTATTTTGTACGCCATGTTGGTTCTGCATGTTGTGGGAGTGGGGTCGTTAATCCTTGTAAATGTTTGTCGTAGCGTGGCTGGGCTTGTGGGCCACCATGATTCCTAGTGGTCTTAGCAGTCTTGTTGTCAGATCCAATATGTTCTTGATGTAGGGCAGTGTGGCCAGTATGTTAGGGCATACTGTGTCCTCCTGTTGTCTGTTTTGTAGGTATCTGTGGATGAAGTTGTGGGGTTTTCCATTTAAAACGAGGATCTTGTATCAGTGTTCTTCCTCTTTCCCGCGTAGTTCTGGAGTGTTGCAGTGTGTCCTGGCCCATTTAAACAGTGTCCAAATGCAGCTTTGTTTGTGGACGTTGGGGTGGTTGCTGTGGAAGTTGAGGATTTGATCCGTATGGGTTGCTTTGGTATCCTTTGTCGTCACAGCTTTATTCACATCAATCAACATCACACTAGCCAAAGAAACAGTGGCCACATTACTACAGGAAACAGCAATGCAGACCAGCAGCTCCATCAGCAAGGACAACATAGTTAAATTACTAGACCTCTGCTTCACCACACACTTCGTCTTTAATGGTCAGATATACAAACATATCAACGGTACACCAATGGGGTCACCCATCCCAGGGCTCATTGCAGAAGCAGTCATGGAAAGGCTAGAACACACCACCCTCCCCTGCATTGAACCTAAACTGCGGATCTGGTATGTAGACAACACATTTGTCATTATTAAACGCAACAAACTAGAAGACACCCACCACCTCATCAACAGCGTATTCACAGGGATTAGATTCACAAGGGAAGACGTAAACAACAATCAACTTCTGTTTCTGGATGTCAAAGCAGAGCGATTGACAAATGGGGAGTTCCAAATGACAGAAAAGCAACCCATACGGAACAAATCCTCAACTTCCACAGCAACCACCCCAACATCCACAAACAAAGCTGCATTAAGACACTGTTTACATGGGCCAGGACATACTGCAACACTCCAGAACTACGCAGGAAAGAGGAAGAACACTGATAAAAGATCCTCGCTTTAAACTGATATCTCCACAACTTCATCCACAGATGCCTACAAAACAGACAACAACAGGAGGACACAGTATGCCCTAACACGCTGGCCACACTGCCCTACATCAAGAACATATCGGAACTGATAACAAGACTCCTAAGACCACTAGGAATCACTGTGGTCCGCAAGCCCATAGCTACTATGACAAACATTTACAAGGATTAAAGCCCCCACTCCCACAACACGCAGAACCAATGTGGTTTATGAAATACCATACGACTGCCACAAACATTACATCAGACAAACAGGAAGAAAACTAGCCATCAGAATATGTGAACATCAGCTAGCAGCAAAATGGCATGATGAACTCTCCTTAATATTGGTACATTTAGACAATGAAGGCCATCAATTTAACTGGGACAAGGTAACCATTATAGCCCCAGCCAAACATAGACACACACTGGGATTCCTAAAGGCATGGTTCTCTGTCCATAAAGCAAATCAACAAACAGAGAATTGGACCCCATATACAAACCCATACAGATCAAAACTGGAAATGACAGTACTCACCATAACAGACCAAACAGTACAAGTTGCAAGCGGAGTAGAATAACACCAATTCAGCGGAGGCTCCACTGATGATGTCACCGAGCATGGTGATGAAACGTCTGAACAAAAACAAGCCAGCTTGGCAAGCAAGTCAATAACCTCATCCACAACCTGAGCTACAGATCTTTGCCAAAATTTTAATCAAAGAATATACACAATATACAGGATTTAGAGAGAGAAAAAGGGAGGCTTCGGCAGATGCTGACGTCTCAAAACAGCAAAAGCCCTAGAGGAGTATAGAATGTGCATGAAGGACCTTAAAAAGATTAGGAGAGCTAAAAGAGGATATGAAAGTATACTGGCAGGTAAAATAAAAGGAAAATCCTAGTTATTTTACAGGTACATTAAAAAGGTAAAATGATAAACAAAGGAAAGAATAGGGCCCATTAAGGACCACAATGATAATTTATATGTGGAGCCAGATAATGTAGGTAAAGTTCTAAATGAATACTTTCGGTCAGTTTTCCTGGTAAGAGTGGCAATGTTGGTATAGAAATCCCAAAGAAGGTTTGTGATGCAATTAAAGAAGTTAGCATAGACAGAGTTTAGGTTCTGAATGGTCTGGCAGGTTTAAAAATACACAAATATTCAGGGCCAGATGAAATGTATTCCAGGTTGCTGGTTGAGATAAGGAAGGAAATAGTAGGGATGCTTGCAAAAACTTTCAATTCCTCTTTGGCCGCAGGAGAAGTGCTGGAGGATGGCCAATGTAGTACCATTACTTAAGAAGGAAGCAAGAGATTCACCAGAAACTACGGGCCAGTCAGTCTAACCTCGGTGGTAGGAAAACTATTGCAAGCAATTCGGAGGGACAGAATTAATCTGCAGTTGGAGACAGTGATTAATCAAGGACAGTAAGCACGATTTCATTAAGGGGAGGTCATGTCCGAACAACTTGACTCAAAGAGGAGACCAGGTGTGTAGATGAAAATCAAAGGGAAGTTAAAGGTTGTGTGTGTCTTTTTTCCATTTTATTTTTTAAGAAAGTCTTTTTGTTTCCCATTGAAAAATATTGGTGATGGAATGAAACTCTGTTTGACTGACAGTTAAGAACCATCCAATCCAAGAAGCTTGACATTATCCAAGCCAAAGCCGTACGTTTGATTGGCACCACATCCACTCTCTCTACCACTAATACTCAGGATCCATATAGCGTATTACCTGCAAGATGCATTGCAACAACTCACCAAGGCTCCTTCAACAGCATCTTGCTAATCCATGACCACATCCATCTCAAAAGACAAGAGCAGCAGATGCATGGGAACACCATCACCTGCAAGTTGCTCTCCAAGCCGCTCACCATCCTGGCATGGAACTATATTGCTGTTCCTTCTGTGTCACTGGATCAAAATCCTGGAACTTCCTCCATGACAACATTGAGGGTTATCTACCTATAGGAATGGTTCAAGATTACAGCTCAGCACCACCTTCTCAAGGGCACCTAGGGATGGACTAGCGATGCTGGCCAGCCAATGACACCCACATCCCACAACTGAATTTTAAAAAGTCTGTAATAAAAAGTCTGTGCACTTTCTAATTGGTGTGAGAAGGTCACATGATACAGGATAAATTAACACAGTAAGTGTGTGGAGAGGCAGGGTGGAGAGGTGAGATGCTGAAACCCATCAGAACTCCTCCAATTAGAATTAAAGACACTACACTTGGTCTTGATGGTCTCCTTACCTTCCGAAGCAGTGACACCAATCCACTGGACCAGCTAGAGGGGTAGTTTATGCTGACAGAGTTGAATATGTGAACGGCTTCATTAACTGAAGTGTTGGAACGGATTTCATATGGTCTCTGAGAGAGGAGGTAAACATTATCTGCAAACATTTGCTTTCATTGTCTGAATAGTAACATAATTATTAAATCACTTAAATACTTCACCATATTTTGAATGTAAGATTTTAACTTGGTACCCTGTGAGATCTAAATAAGTAAAGGGAAACATTCTGGTTCAGAGGAGTCCTTTAGAGAGATCTATCATTTAATTAAAATGGGAATGAAAGGCTCTGCAGTGGCTCAGTATATATAGAACATAGAACAGTACAGCACAGTACAGGCCCTTCGGCCCACGATGTTGTGCCGAACTTTTACCCTAATCCTAAGGTCTATCTAAACTCCACCTCTACCTTATACTATCATCCGTATGCCTATCTAATAGCTGCTTAAAAGCCCCTAATGAGGCCGACTCCACTACCCTCTCCGGCAATGCATTCCACGCCCCGACCACTCTGAGTAAAGAACCTACCTCAGACGTCTCCCCTACATCTACCTCCATTCACTTTAAAACTATGCCCCCTCGTAATAGCTACCTCCACCCTAGGAAAGTCTCTGGCTGTCTACTCTATCTATACCTCTGATCATTTTGTACCACCTCTATCAAGTCACCTCTCATCCTTCGTCGTTCTAAAGAGAAAAGCCCGAGCTCTCTCAACCTTTCCTCGTAAGACCTTCCCTCCATTCCAGGAAACATCCTGGTAAATCTCCTCTGCACCTTTTCCAACGCTTCCACATCTTTCCTGTAATGAGATGACCAGAACTGGACACAATACTCCAGATGTGGTCGAACCAGGTTATTGTGTAGCTAGAGCATAACTTCATGGCTCTTGAACTCAATCCCTCTATTAATGAAAGCTAACACACCATACGCCTTCTTAACAACTCTATCCACCTGGGTGGCAACTTTCAGGGAACTGTGGATGTGAACCCCAAGATCCCTCTGCTCCTCCACACTGCCAAGAATCTTTCCGTTAACCCTGTATTCTGCTTTCAAGTTTTTCCTACCAAAATGAATCACCTCACACTTTTCAGGGTTAAACTCCATCTGCCACTTCTCAGCCCAGCTCTGCATCCTATCAATGTCTCTTTGTAACCTAGAACAGCCCTCCGCACTGCCCACAACTCGACTCACCTTTGTATCGTCCGCAAACTTACTAATCCACCCTTCCACTCCTACTCCAAATCATTTACAAAAATCACAAATAGAAGAGGACCCAGAACAGATCCTTGTGGTACACCACTCGTAACTGAGCACCATGTTGAATATTTTCCGTCCACTACCACCCTTTGTCTAAGGGTCAGCCAATTCTGAATCCAATGTGCCACATTTCCCCCTATCCCATGCCTCCTTATCTTCTATCATGTCACAGAATGAGATTAGACCATTAAAAATTGGGCAATGCGAGATCTGATCTCAGTCTTTGCTAAATTAACTAGTCTCAGCAGTGGAGGAAGGTGGGGGAGGGGTAAGGGGAATGACAATGGTCTCAACATCCTTGCACAATCCAGTTACCTGTACGAGGGAAAGCACGTGTATGTGAACATTAGTTGATAGTTGGATTGAACTTAACTGCTTGTCTGAAGTGTTATAATATAGATTTCAGAACTTTAATAACTGTTCACTGATTGAATGAATCAACAAAACACAAACGTAGATATGGAAAGAAGTAGTAACAACTCTGTTAGGAATAAACTATTAAAGGCAAGCACAAATTTATACCGGAATGGAAAGCAATTAGCCATGAGTCAGCAAGATTACATATCTGAAATGGTTTTGATGCCTGCTTGATAAATTGGATGCTTTATTGCCACAAAGAAAAGGATTGCCCTACAGAGGAATTTATGGAATTAATCATAAAAACTGTGTGTCTTCAAACAGGCAGTTAAGGCCAAAATGTAACAAGGAACAGAGAGGCCACTTCTGATAAGAAGGCAAACTGCAGACTTGCAGTAATTTGGTTGCAGGAACTTTAAGAAATCAATTGTATCACATATTGACCGAAGGACAAAAAACTGTCAAAGAATTGAACACCAGATCTCCCCCTTTAACCGAACTTCAAAGAACAACACTGCACAAGGACTGAACCCTGGACAGTTCCAAAGTCAGAGCACCATTAGTTGAAATCTTGCCCCGATTGCACTATTAGTTGGGTAATAGCGAAGTTGGGTTGCGAGGTTTAACTTGTTATTTGAGGGGTCTTATTTTGGTCGCTACGTGCAATAAAAAGTTTAAAATCCTTGTTTCAGTACTTGAATGTCTGAGATTTCTTAATAAGTAGCTGGAGTATAGGTAATGTGGTGATTTACCCACAACAAAACTCTATCTTCAGCTCAGAAAATCAAATAACTCTTGCTGGTTCTGGTGTTTGGGCGAAGATGATGTCAATGCAGACAGATCAGAAGCCTCACGTTAGTCATAGATTTCAGGGAAGAGGAGGTTTCAGAGAAGCTTGTACCTTATAGATGAACAAAAGTGGTTCAGATAGACTGGGGTTCTGTAACAAAAAGCAAACTTATCTAAATTAAATGAAACTGTCTTTACCAGGAATGATGGAGCTCACAGACAAAGTTTCTACTTATATATCTGCAGGATTCCATTGAGGGTTTACTCAACTATGAGGGCGAGGGCGGATCTGAAATCAAAACATCTTGGGTCTCAACTGTAAACCTTCATTGGTGCTTTGCGAACTAATGACAGCTAGGTATCAGAGGGTGAAGCCCAAATAGCTTGACCCTACTCAAAATCACAACTAAAACATGAATGATTGTCCCTGACGACAACTGGTAGCATTAAAACTTCACCTAGCACATTTATAAGGTTTTCAGTAATTGAGGGAAGGGGCAGCAATAAAGTACACGGTTCCTTAATATGAATGCATGGAACAACAGACAGCTCTCCATACCTGTCCTTTGAGAAGCTCATAGGCTGTGATTCCGAGAGACCACCAGTCTACAGCAAAGAGATAGCCAGTACAACCATTTACAAAAGGATGGAATATTTCTGGAGCTAGCGAAAGAGAAGGGAAACAAGTACTTAGCATTGCAGTTTTTCATTACAATTAATATTCGTTCTATAGTAGCACAGGTAGGAAATAAGCATAGTTTTCCACTTGTGTCCCAAGTGAGAATTCTGTCAGACTGGAGAATATCTTCAGGGAGAGAGTTTGAAGGCAAAAATCAGACCAAATATGGGATTAAAAAAAATGACATGTTTGAACACTTTGCAGTATCAGCCTTAATGGTTATGGCTGCATTTGCTGTCAGCACATCCACAGACAGCTTCCTGCAAAGGACACAAACTCAACCAACTGCAACAAATAGCAATAAACAGAGTTTACGTAAAATTTATATATGCATTTAAGCTACAAGTTTCGTTCACTGAAGTGTTCAGATCTTGTGCATGGTAGCGAGGTGGATAAGGGAGGAGGGCAGTAGGTGTATGTGTATGTTGGGAAGCAAACCCCTGTCTCAGTGCCAAGGATCCAGGTTCAATTCCAGCCTTGCATGACCAACTGCGTGGGGGTTTGCACTTTCACCCCATGTCTGTGTGGATTTCCTCTGGGTGCTCTGGTTTCCTCCCACAGTCTAAAGATGTGCAGGTTAGGTGGACTGGCCATGCTAAATTGTCCCAGAGACTCCAGGGATGTACAAGCTGGGTGGGTTAGCCATGGCCACGGGGATAAGGTTAATGCAAACTCGATAGGAAGAATGGCCTCTTTCAGCACAATAGGGATTCTACAATTCCATGATTTATGTTTCTAAGTGGGCTGGCGAGTGGGGCAGGGAGAGGGTTGGCAGGGGGTCCTCAATGAAAAAGCTGCCAGAGATGGAAAAAGGGTCAGTGACAGGATGGTTACTGGCAGTGAGATGAAGTGGTGATGGGGCAGAAAGTGGGGGTGAAGGGACAAACAGATGGGAGGAATGTTCAGTTGTGAGCAGATGTGCAATGATGACATCAGCTGTACCACGTATTTGTATACAGAAACAGTGGGTGTCAATTTCCTGTTCCAGAAACAGTAATGATGTCAGTTGTACTGCCACCCTGTTCCATCTGTGGAGGAGATGCAGAGAATTGTTGCTTCATTAGTTTCCTAAGAGCACCTAGTATGCTTAGCCGCATCTCAACACCACGGAGGAGGGAGTAGATCATATGACCACAACTATTCCAGATTCATCTTCTGTTACTACGAGACACCATACAAGGTTGGGAAAAGTTACTGGAGTCCATGTTCCCAATAGCAAAGTTGAAAACAACCAGCATGCATTTCCTGAGATAGTAGGAACTGCAGATGCTGGAGAATCCGAGACAACAAGGTGCAGGGCTGGATGAACACAGCAGGCCAAGCAGCATCATAGGAGCAGAGAGGCTGATGTTTCGGGCCTAGACCCTTCATCAGAAAAGGGGGAGGGGAAGGGGGT